AGGCCAGCAGCAGAACCAGTGCCACTTGGGCAGTGCCAAAACCCAACAGATTTGTATTTGAGTGTTAATTTGGCATGGAAACGCTGAATGCACATCCCTAGTGTGGGGTGGCTGTCCCCTGAGACCCTGGAGGTCTGTCCCACAGGCTGCTGCACACTATTGACATCTCTTTCTTCTGCAGTAGGTTTATTCATGTAATCTCTCTCTCTGATTGGAGCAGCCTCATCCCAGGTAGCATGTTTGCATCTCCATCTTGCAGTGACTCTTTACCACCACTGTGGGCAGGCCCTGTGGGTCAAAGTACCACCATGAATCAGCAATGATTACCGTATTTACTCAAAAGGAAGATGACTCTGAATGTAAGACTTCCCACGCTAAAAATGTACAGAAAAAAAGGTTTTTTTAATTATTGGACATAAGTGTAACTTGTTTGCGAATTTAAAACTGTCTATGTTTTTCTTTGATGACATATCTGAAAACCCCCCACTAGCCTTGTATTTGAGAGTAAATACTGTAAAAGGTCTTTCTATCTTATCCAATAAGAATGGGGATAAAGGTTTTGCTATTTATCCATTAAGAATATGCAAGGAAAATAAATTGTTGGTAGGAGAATAGATCCATTTGCCGACACGGGTGTGGATGCTGGGTCAATCAGAAGAACTAGGAGCACTATGCATAGTTATGCAAATTAAGTATCTGAACACAATTTTGAAATAATGTCTTTTTTTACTGAAAACTTGCCAGAGCATGGAAGGGAAGGGATGCTGTTAAGTGTGGATGCAGTTTCAAAACTGTGTATTTGCTTTCTACATGCACAAAGGCTGTGAGGGGTTTTGTTGTTGTTCAGTCGCACAGTCGAGTCCGACTCTTTGCGACCCCATGGACCAGCTCCCGCCAGGCCTTCCGGTCTTCCACTGTCCTCTGAAGTTGGCTCAACTTCATGTTCGTTGCATCGATGACACTGTCTAACCATCTCATCCTTTGCCATCCCCGTCTTCTTTGACCTTCAATCTTTCCCAGCATCAGGGTCTTCTCCAGGGAGTGCTCCCTTCTCATTTGGTGGCCAAAGTATTTGAGCTTCAGTTTCATTATCTGGCCTTCCAGGGAACAGTCAGGGTTGATTTCTTTTAGGATTGACTGATTTGTTCTTCTTGCAGTCCAAGGGACTCTCAAGAGTCTTCTCCAGCACCAAAAGAATCTATTCTTCGGCGCTCGGCCTTCCTTATAGTCCAACTCTCACAGCCATACATGACTACTGGGAATACCATTGCTTTGACCATGCGGACTTTTGTTGGCAGGGTGATGTCTCTACTTTTTATCATGCTGTTTAGGTTCGCCATTGCTTTCCTCCCAAGGAGCAGGCATCTTTTAATTTCATGACTGCTGTCACAGTCTGTGAGGGGTTGCGGACGACAATAATATGCCTTAATTTCATGACTGCTGTTACAGTCTGTGAGGGGTAGGGGACGACAATAATATGCCTTGTCCCAGTGCCCCAAATGCCTAGTTATGCCACTGATGTAAGCAATGAAATTGGCAACTTTTTTCTCTTGTTCATTTATGGACTCAGCAAGACAGTGAATTGCCAAGTGATCACTGTTTGGGGCATTATATCTCCATTCAGTAGATCCCCCCCCCCCACTGGGTCTGTTGATGAATTCCATCATGATTTCTCTGCAGGGGTGTGCATGGACATTTTTGTTTTTGTTTCCTTTCTTCCACCTCTTTCCATTTTTAAGGGGCACTGTGGATTTCATAGTCCATTATTCTTAATTACTCTTGTTTCCCATTCATTGTTCATTCTATTGTTTTTGCCTGTATTTTAATGGGAGACTCAGCCCACCTTCTGCCCAAAACTCTGGTGTTTTCCATCAGATTGCATTTACTGAGTTTTAGAGCAGAGGAGTTATGTGCTTAGAGGAGAGATTCTGACACAGAAAAGAAGTTCCCTCCATGCCAGGTTTTGCATTGCTGGACAAATGAAAAACACAGATGTCTCCTGTTTCTGTTGAAGAAATGAATGGGGCTCATTCACTGTTTTCACATGTGTATCTAAACAAATGCACATTCTGACTCTTCTTCCTCTTGGCTTTTGAATCAGTTTGATTGCCTTCTCTCCTTCCGGGCTTTTGGGAACTCTGCAGTCAGGAAGACCACACTGGATGAAGACTGAGAGGGACCGGAGGGAGTAACAAGACTGGATAGCTTGAGGCACTTGATGTGTCGAGGGCGGGAGGGAGCATCACTTCTATCTCCATGAAAACCAGAGAGAATGGAATTGTTAGTTGCAAGTCCACCGGCACCTGTCAAATTAGTGATGCTGGACCAGTTTCCAGTCTGTTATCATGACTTTGGGGCTTATCAGAGCTCTGTCAGCTATCCTCTGCCCAATCCTGCTTGTTCCTTCGGTGTCCTCTGCTAGAAATCTTTGCTTAATCCTCTTCAATTCATACTACAGAGCTGAAAGTCTATAACCAGAGGACCTAACTCTAGCATCTGACATAAATTGTGCTGATGAGATATGTATTTGAATACACTTAGGTGCTATGCAAAATGTTTTGGAATGGTGGCTCAGTGGTAGAGAATTAGCCATGCATGCATGAAGTCTTAAATTCAATCCCTGGCATCTCTAGTTAAAAGGATCAGGTAGTAGGTGATGTGAGAGACCCCTGCCTGAGGCCTGGGAGAGCCACTGCCTGTAAGAGTAGCAAATACTGACCTAGATAGACCAGTGGTCTGACCCAGTAGAAGGCAACTTAATGTGTTTCAGACGCTAGTTTTGTTATAGGCAGTAGAAAGAAAAGTCAGGGATAATTGAAAATACAGCTTAGAGAGAGGTGAAGCTTCAGAGGGTGAGAAGGCTGGGAGAAAGGACACACTGGTGACCGCAGAGATTTTATTCATTTATTTATTTAATAATTTCTTTATCGGTTTTTAAGGACAAAACAAACACAGATAAACAATCAAATATTCAAAATTAATGATCTAGAGTCAGATATAAATTAATTTTTACCACTCACTTTCTTTTTTTCAGGTAAAAGTTGTTAATAGACTACCCCAATCCTTCTTACAGTACTTAGTTTCTTTGTATTATGCTAACAAAAAATAATCCTTTTAAGCAACAACAGAAATAAGCTTTGAAGATAACACAAAAGTACTTAACCATTAAACTGCACAGAGGTCTAAAGTTCTTATTATCATTCCAAAATAAATCAAAAGTCCAGTACAGTACATTCATTTCCAGCCAGTTTGGTGCAGTGGTTAAGTGCGCGGACTCTAATCTGGGAGAACCGGGTTTGATTCCCCACTCCTCCACTTGCACCTGCTGATGTGACCTTGGGTCAGTCACAAGCTCTGGCACAGCTGTCCTTGAAAAAGAGCAGTTTGTGTCAGAGTTCTCTCAGCCCCACCTACCTCACAGGGTGTCTGTTGTGGGGAGGGGAAGGGA